GTGTGACATGAAGCCCAGGAGAAAAGGAGGATATAGAAGGAGAGAGTGGACAGCATTAGGACAACAGTGAAGACCAGGACTGAGGTGGCCAGAGGCTCACATCCCCCACAATCCTACCAGGCCCTGAACCTCCCCCGCTTCTCCCCAAAGGCTTCTGCTTCTGCATACAATTACTATTCTGCCGTGTCTTATGCCCCAAGCTGTGTCTCAAAGTGTTTTCTCAAACATATTGGTTTCCTATGGCTGCCTTCTACAACCTCCATGACTTAACATGAATTGATTATCACTCTGGAGGCCAGAAGTCTGAGATGGGTCTCACTGGGCTAAAATGCGGACAGCATGGCATTCCTTCTAGAAGCTCTAGGAAAGATCTGTTTCCCTGTTTTTTTCTGGCTTCTAGTGACTGTCCACGTTCCTTGGCTCATGGTCTCTTCCTCCATCTTCAAAGACAGAAGTACAGCTTGTTCAAATCTCTTTCTGACTCTGACCTCCTTCTTCTACTTATAAGGACCTGTGACCTTGTAACACTGGGCCGACTCACACAATCCAGGAAATTCTCCCCACCTCAAGGTCAGATGATCAGCAAACGTAATTCCCATTTTCAACCTTCCTTCCCCCCTTGCCATGTAATATAACACATTCACAGTTTTTGAGATTGGATGTGCATAATTTGGGTGGGGGGGTGGCCTGTGATGGAATTATTTTGCCAAATATACCAAGCAAAGACAAATCCCTATGAAGAATTCCAATGACAGGTTTTATGAAAATAAGGCTTTCATCTCCTTACATGAGCACTAAAACAGGTCCACTGGGCTTCTGAACAGAAAGAGGACAGGTCAGAGTCAGAAAGAGAGATTTGAACAGGCTGTACTGATGTCTATGAAGACGGAGGAAGAGGCCATAAGCCAGGGAATGTAGAGTCACTAGAAGCCAGAAAAAAACAGGGAAACAGATTCTTTCCTAGAGCTTCTGAGTGAGGGCAGGATCAGAGCTTAGGGGGCTGAAACATGAAGGAGGGGTCAGGGAATGAGAAAATCAGTACAGACAACACTTCTAAGGATATCATCTGAATGTGGGGCCAGTAAACAGCTATCGATATTAACGAGTAGAACAAGCACCAGGGATGGGGTAAGAGTATCAGATTTGAAGTCTTAATTAAACGGGGCACCTGGGTGGCTCAGTCGGTTGAGCATCAGACATCTGCTCAGGTCGTGACCTTGTGGTTCATGGGTTTGAGTCCCACACTGGGCTCTCTGCTGTCAGCACGGAGCACTGCTTCTAATCCTCTGTCCCCCTCTCTCTCTGCCCCAACCTCACTTGCTCTCGCTCTCTCTCTCTCTCTCTCTCTCTCACTCGTTCTCTATCTCTCAAAAATAAATATTAAAAATTTTTAATAATAAAGTCTTAATTATAGACCTCATGCCAAAGTGCAAGGAATCAAAGTTCCTTATTCCATAGATCCTGAGCCCAGTCCATTCACCAGTCAGCTTTCTGGAGGGACTGGCCCAGGATGTGCTGGGGCAGGGATGGGCTTCCCAGGTGCCCCTCATAGCAAGCTTGAACAACATCCTGGGGTCCTTGCTAGTGGGTCTGACTTTGGAAAAATCAACAAACTCTCCCTTATCCAACCTTGCATCCCAAGCTCCATGACACAGAGCCCTTGGAACCAGGCCAGTGGATGCTCTCAGGTCCTGCTGGTCCTGCTGGTCCCTGCCACCTACAATTTGCAGCTCGTTCCCTCAGTGGTCAGGGCTATCATATCTTCAGCTGAGGCATGTCCTGATGAAACCCTCGTTATAGGCCTTGGGGCCAGGAAGGGAGATGCCTCTGCATTGCCTCCAAGCGTGAGAGAAATGCCAGCTCTTCAGAGGAGGCATAGGCTACTTTTGCAGGCTCAGTGGGTACAAGCGAATCTGGAGGTTTGAGACTTTTGAGAACATCAAAAAGATACTGAATTTCAAGAGTTGCTCACCCCTGCACTTGCAGGGACCTGAGAGTGAGTGCTTCCTTCAATCGCACCCCAGTGCCTCCTTTGTGTCTTCCTAATCACCTGCATCCAGGTGTCAGGGTCCCATTCTTTCCCAGCCAGGGCCCTGACCTTGGCATAGCAGACTGGCCTTGCTTAGAGTTTATTTAACCTTCTTCAGTAGGATCCCAGGAGATTACACACACCAGCTGTTAGGATGGCACCTCAAAACATGGAGAAAGGGATGGCCCAACTTATTGAGGTTCAACTCACAGGGCGGTTCAGGTTCAAAGATGGGGAAACAGACTCTGACCCCACCCTTTGATGAGACAGTTGCAAAACCATACTTCAGTGAACATGGACAGACACAGGGAAAAGTAAAGGAGTGTGGCCACTTTTGCACTCTACCAGCCTGCTAGATTCTGTATGAATTAACAGTTGTCAGGGGTCCCAAAGAAGAGCAGCCCCCAAGGGAGGGAGGGAAGTAGGGACCTGATCAAACTTCTAGGCCAGTCATTTCAAGGCAAGAATCAGAAATTCCTAAACAGATCTGATGTCCCTCTTTTTGAAACTCTGACCTTCCTGGGCTCACTCTACCCTCTAATGAACTCCCTGTGCCTCTTTTAGACTCAACTTAGAAAGGATTCCATGACTTCTGTCTCCAAAATGGACCAAATTTGTAAGCATACCGGAAGGAGTGGACAATTTAGGAATGAATTTCTATAATCTACCCGGCATCCTCCTCCATGATGTTATCACATTCTTTGCCTCAAAAGAGAAGAGAAACAAGGAGGTGGTCTGCCACGTAAAGTGAACTAAAATGCTATTAAGTCTGTACTCACAAAGAAACAAAAAGAAGGAAAGAAGAAAACCCTAAAAATATTGAGGTTGAGTGCCAAATGTAGCATATGTTCTTGGGAATCTGATCTTTGCAATGAATCTCCCAGACGGCCTTGGAGGGAGCTCGGCGGGGAGTGAAATGAGGTGATAGGAAGTGGCCCGTGTAAATCTCCACCCTGGGTTTCACCCATGGAATAACCATGTGTGAGCTCTCACTCTTCTCCTTTGAAGATTGGCATTTGATAAAGCAAAGCATAATTTTCTAAATCCCACATACAATTTTTATTTTTATTTGCAAAATTATTTTCTCTGCTCCTTTCCTTTTCCTGATTCTCCTTTTCCTTGCTCTTTTGGTTTCTTTTCTCTCCTCCCTTAGAAACAAGGATTTTCAAGCTCTGCTAACTTGTCAAGCCAGAAGGCCAAAGAATAAGAACTCTAGGGCCCTTTGGTTTCTCCCTTTCCATTTCAAAAGATGATGAGGTCAGGTCAATTTGCAAGGTAGACTGGTGCTGTATTACCTAATCGTGGCTCCAAGAACAGGAATTTGGAAGGAAAAAAAAGGACTAATTAGGTCTCTCCCTCCTAAAATGTCTCTAAAATGTGGATTTAAGAAAACATGTGCTCCAGAGTCACACGGAAAGAACTGGAAGAGCTTTTTGATTTCAAAACGCAGTGGGCCTGGGCCTTGAAGGGAATTTAGAGAGCTTCCAGCTATAAACCAGTCTGATCCCCTAAATTAGCCAGATCCCTGGCTGAGCTCACAGAGACACTGTTCCCATGAGGTGCCATGCTGAGGACAATTCTTGGACAGGAATCAATAAGATGCTCTAAGTTGAATTTGCCTTAATGAGCTTTTTGTCCTCAGAAAGACCCACAAATGGGAAGTGGCCTAGCCTGATGGTGAAGAGCACAGACCCAAGCCAGATTTCCCAGCATCGAATCCCAGCTCTACACGAGTTATGGGTTGAATTGTGTCCACTCCCCCGCGTCTCTCCCAAAATTCAGATGTCATTATGTCAGAGTCCTTATCTCCCAACACCTCAGCATGTGACCTTATTTAGAGATCAGGTCTTTACAGAGGTAATCAAGTTAAAATGAGGTTGTTAGGGTGGGCCCCTAATCCAACATGACTGCTGTCCTTATGAAAAGGGGACATGTGGACACGGACACCCACGCAAAGAAGATGCCTTGTGAGGATGCAGGCAGAGATCAGGGTGATGCTTCCACAAGCCAAGGAATCCCTCACCCCTACCCCCCAAATTGTCAGAAACCACCAGAACTGGGAGAGAGTTCTGGAGCAGATTCTCCTTCATGGTCCTCAGAAGGAACCAGACCTGATGACACCTTGATCTTGGACTTCTGGCCTCCAGAACCATGAGAGAAAAGGTTTCTGTTATTTAACCCACTCAGTCTGCAGTACTTTGTCACAGCAGTCCTGGCAAACTAACACCACATCACCATCTCTCTGTGTGACTCTGGGTGCCGCTCCAGGAAACATGTGAATGATATACCGTGTCCAGCTCAGATAGCTGTGAGGAGGATTATATGAATTAATATGCACAAATGCTTTCAATAGAAGTGGGTGCAAAGGGGTACCTGGGTGGCTCAGTCGGTTGAGCATCTGACTGGATTTCAGCTCCGGTCATCACCCCAAGGTCATGGGATCAAGCCCCTCATGGGCTCGGCAAGGAGCCTACTTAAGATTCTCTCTCTCTCTCTTTCTTTCTTTCTTTCTCTCTCTCTCTCTCTGGCCCTCTCCCCAACTTGCGTTCTCTAAAGTAAATTTTAAAAAAAAGTGGACACAAAGGAAAGGCTATGTGAGTACTTGTTAAATAATTTTAAGTCAATATGTCAACATCATACAAGTCATTATAGGAATTATTAGTTAATTCATCTGTCTTTGCAGCCAGTGTGGTATTAAGGAGAAATTTTAAAATCCTTTAGAAAGTGTAAAAGCCATTACTTATTCTAAGCATCGTCCATAAATTGTTATAATTAGAGCTATGCTGTTTTCTTCGTTTTTCTTTCAATAGTGTGATCGGGCAGTGCCTCGGGCCGTTAGGCTTCTAATAAATTATTAATCTGGGAGTTAATAATTCATGTTAATTGGTGCTGTAAGCCACTTTCTCTGGCAAATGTGAGCAAAGGTCAGACCTTCTTCACAGCAAAGATGAAACCTTTTCTAAGTTTCTTTTTCCATGTTCTATCATGGAAACATTAAGATATGGAAGGCAAAATTTAACTAGGGCTGGGAAAGTGAGATAATTCCAAGGATAAAGGTCTAGACCTTCAGTCACAATTCGTGGGCCAGCACTGCCTCCACAGCCCTGTCAGAGGTAGAGGAGAGCTCCAGGGAACTCAGGGGACCCCAGCCCCATGGGATCCTCCTCGTGAAGGATGCAGCAACTCAGGTGTGCGACTCTCCAACACGACATTGTAGAATAATTGTAAGTGTGACTCGTTGACCAAACTATTTTTTTTTTCAGACAATAAAATAAGGCACTCAAAAGACTGGCTCGCCAGTGGGATTTTTCATAATGAATGATGATTCTGCTAAATTACAAGGCACAGCACAGACAGCATTCATTCACAGAGGGCAACCACACCAGAATCTCAGGGAAATCTCTGTCACCGTTGATGTCTTTGATTTTAATTAATGTATTTAGTTGTGTCTTTGGTTTTATCCCCCAGAAAGAATTTGAGGTAATTCCTGATTGCAGACCACGGAACACAAGAAACCAAAGGCTTCTTCCCTCAATAAATTTGCATTTACTTCTCAACTCATTGATTCATCCTTGGGTCTTGAAGCAGCTGCTAGTGGCCTAGATGTTCTGGGTGTTTTATACCTTTTTTAGCCTCGATAATTACTTGAATGTTTCATGTCAAGCCACAGACTGATGCAATGAAATAACATTTTCCCATTTGGATAATAAAATTGTTCTTACTTTGGGGTTTTTCCCTCATTTTCATGAAAAGATAGCCATAGACTATGTAGAGAATCATGTCTGAAGACTAAGGATAAAATTTAAGAGCAAACCACTAGTTTAAAGAGTTTCAGAGCCAGAAGTCAAACCTTCCAGCTCTTTTTTTCTTTTTTTCCTAAAGAAAATTTGAATAGCATATGCTTTTCATTGTACTCCTTTCCAGTCATTTACATACTGGGGAAATGTATATTTGGCAACAGGTCCTATTTTTAGTTGTCCTTGAAACTTGCCCTTTGAAAATGTTTTCATTTCTGGCTCATATGCGTGTCTTAAGCAAAATGAAAACACAAAGCAAAAAAAAAAAAAAAGAAAAGAAAAATATGTACAGAAAGGAATGATTTTTCCAGCCCCATGTAGCACAATAAGAAAGCAATCATTCAGTTGCGACTTTAAAAATGGATCCGTGCCTGGATTTTCCAAGTATTTCCTTCTAAATGACTGTTTCTCTACAGAACTGAACTAATGTAAAGAGACAGGTTGTTCCACTGCCAGAACTGAACAAGCAAAAAAAAGGAGGCAGGCTATATTTTCATAGGAGGAACTTGACCAAATAATACCTACTCTGTTTCCCTGCAGCCTCTTGGGTTGATTCAGAAGAAGGTGCCATATGCCCCCCGCGTGTCTCCAAGCATGCTTTCCCAGCCTGGCTCTTGATCAGCACCAAACTTCTATCATTTGCAGTCAGTAACAAAGATTCATCCTTGTGTCTGTCAAGCAACAAGGAGAATCTTTGTCCCTTAGTGTAATTAATAGCCATACCTCCTATGGGAAGACAGAAGAAGAATGCCCTTCATACAGAGACTTGGATTCAGATCAGGCTTCATGGGTCTTTGCTGCTTACTGACCAGTGGAAATGCCAGAGGTCCAGCAAAGCGGGAAGTTGGTAAACAAATGTTTCTTCTGGGGCCACGTGTGTTCCCACCTCCAAGCCCAATAACTGTAGTCCAGGAGAGCTCTCGAACTTTTCCTATTGAACCAGATGGACTTGGAGGCTCCTCCACCATGAATGTCCTACACCCAGGCCTTGAATCCTCCCCGCTGCCTGCCACCACGTTGTTTCCGTGGACCTCCAGACAGCTTCCATGTAGGAGAAAAAAATAAAAATAGAAATGAGAAACCAGGTTGTTTCATTTGTTCAATGACCCTTCAGAGAATGTGAGTTAGGCCCTGTTTTCAGAATGAGAGAAAGGACGACTCGGGCTCGGAGAGCGTAGCACTTGCCCAGAGGACACAGATGGAAACAGCCAAATCCGGATTCAAATCCAGGCTTCATGGCTCACTTTACACTGAATCGTAGACTTTTCTTTCCCTCTCTGGGCTCCTACTTTTTTATTATTTTGACGACCCACTGTCTCTTCTTCCTCCTCTTCCATAAAAATGGTTGGATTTATCTCATTGTCCCCAGACCTTTAACTTGCTGTCCTCCACCCTAGGACAAACCCAATCTTATCTCTCATGGGTTCCTGGTGCCCTTAAGTACTAATAGTGCCTCATCATCACCCTGCTTTCAATTGCTGTGTCTCCAAGATTTCTTTCCAGAGGCCACTTTATCACTTCATTTAACCAACATGTGCAAATTCTAAGGCCAACATTTTTTCTTCTTTTCCTGCCCAAGGAGAAAGTAAATATATCCTGTGCTTTCTGCCCCTGATCTACAATCTCATGTATTTTTAACTTGGCTCATCCATCACATATTCAGATGCTTTTCCAGCAGGCTTTCTCACCTCTCACCTCGTATGAATGTCCAACCCCACTTACTGGAGGTGGTAGGGTCTCATTCTCTGCTCTGTTGCTTCCCTCCAGGTAATCAGCAGTGACTCCCTTCCCCTCTTCAGGGCCCAGAACTCCCCGTTGAAAGCTATCCATCCCTGATATCTGCTTCCCTAACCTCCTCCAACCATAGCTCCGTTTCAAAACCACCAGCTCCCTCCCTTTCCCCACCTTTCCAATCGTCTCACTGTGTCAGCTATGTCCTACCCAGACTAACAACATCTTCCTGCCACCAGAGTATTGCCAGTCAATGTTCATGGTGCTCCTTATCCAATTTAGGAACCTCCCTGACCTACCTGCATTGCAACAGGGCCAGCTTTAATGAGCTGGTTCTGATTTGGGGTGTAGAGCTGTGTGCTGCACCCTAAGAACAGGAGTTCCTGTTAGTCCCAGTGGCACTATGAGGATAATAAATTATACTACATTTGCATTAAATCCTAATTCTATACATGTATATTAAATTGTAATCATTCCAAGCTCACAAAATTCTTTGCCTACAGAAGGTGCTATATTGCAGCTAAGAGCACTCAGCGTTTGTACTGAAAGTTCCTCTCAGTTTGGCAAGCACAATCTTAATTCCTCCCCCAACAGCACCACTTTTGGTGGATGTGCTCCTAAGAGAGTAAATAGTCCCTTCCCCCACCCCAAGCCCCTTTCTACCATATGCCATTGGTTTTGCTTTAAGGAAAAGAGAATGTGGTTTCCTGTGACCCTGGTAGACAAGACAGAGTGAGCTTCTGCTGGTTATACTAACATCTTCTGCTCATAGATTCTGCTAGAGAACTAGAGAGCAAGCTAAAAAGGACCCCTGGGAACAGAAGGGCTGGCTGCCCGCAAATCTGTCCATCTAGCCCAGACTATGCCACGAGTTCCAGACTGAATTGCCTATGAGGTGTCTCGGAGGCACTCGGGTGTCCAAGAGGCAAACGTCACCACTAAAGCCAACTTCTTCGCCACCTCTGCAGGTGAAACCAGACAGGGATTAGCAAGTTATCCTGGACTTCTCCTCCTCCACCATCCCCTGCCTTCTCCAAGTCATACCCAAATCCCGCTGACCTAAAGTCCCCTGAATCTGTTCTCTCCTCTCCAACCCCATCATTCCTCCTCCAGTTCACAACTAGAAATGGTATCCCAGTCCACACCACCTTTTAACCTGCACCCAGGGATTGTTTGAAACCCTTCCCCACTTCTCTGTTGTCTACACCACACACTTGTGAAGACATCTGGGCCAGGCAGATGGCTTTGGGGCAACCGGAGCCAAGCCCTCAGTGTTCCTTCTCAGCTGGCTCTCTAGCTCACCCTCCACACTAGAGACCGGTGCAGCCCTCTGCTCAACTCCATTAATGGAAGGTATTAGAAGAGCAGCAGAAGCTGTTTTGCATCTCTTAGGGCGGCATAGAGGGCTTTCCAAGGTCTGGCATCTGCTGAATGCTATTTACGGCAGTAGTGGACTGCTTATAGTTCTCCATACCCACCTGCCTTTGTATATATGCTCCCAGCAGGAAGATCTTTTCCCTACATTCTCACACCCCCATACAACATCCTTCCCCCATTATTCATCAGAGGAAAAGTTATTTACAGGCTTGCTCAGATATTATACCCTCTGAGATCTTTCTGACTGCCTCATCCTTAACCTGAACCCCAAGTTCCTTCACAGAATGAAACACACCACCTGCACCCAATAGTAGACTTCCACTGACAACAAATTAGTTTGTTGAATATTTTAATATTGTTGTTATTATTCACAACATTTTTTACTGGAGTTGTAGTTTGTAGCCATTATTGTTTGATAAGTAGAAGTGCAATATGCCTGTATATATTTTAATTTGAATCTCATGAAATTAGAAATATTTGTCCACTTTTACCTAAAAAAAAGGTCAGTGTTAAATATATGTATTCCTATGTAACGTATCCTTATGAGATAGACCACACAGCTAATCTAACTTTAATTTGCTATGGGCACTACTTGTTATACAAAAATTCTAAAGAAAAAGGTCAAAAACCACAAGCATGATTATCTAAACATCAAACTACATTTTGTGAAACTAAGGAAGTTTCACCTTGCCATCAATCTGTGAGTCACAGCAGGAAAAAGGCTTGATAGACAGAGAGTGGCTCACTTCACCCGCCTTTGAAGGAACTACACCCTTTTCTCCTTCATGGATTATTTAAATCAAGACATAAAAGTGGCCATTCTGGAAATGGATGGATGCTGCCAGGTATCATACGACAGGAAGATTTTATCTACCCTTCTCCTATTCATTGTTCCCTCCCACATACATACTGAAAAAATGCCAGGGATCACTAGGCATCGCTAGTTATGTGGTACTGAAGTCTTCAGTGTTTACCAAAACCATTTAAAGTTTAATCTTTAATCCCACTTATATTACCTATTAAGAAAAACTTGGACTGTGTTCCAGATCCTTATTCCTTATAAAGTCAGTCTGTAAAATAATCAGATTGATCTGTAGAAGTCACGCAGGAAAGACAATTGAACAACTATAGTTACACCTCCCTTAATTTATTCAGTGTCATGCTTAACTTTCACAGCAGGTAACAGCTGCCAAGAGTGGTTGGTTAAGAAGCTGCAGCAATAGCATACTTAGGGTTTTCCCACACGAGCCCGTGAGCCCATGAAATGGGGCTGAAAGGCTTTACAACCTGCCTTCCTTTGCGGCCATTTTCTGAGGCAAATGTTTAAGGTCTCCGTCATCTATGAGTTGGGCCCTTCTATGCACACAGAGTGGCTACTCTTCAGAAGTAATTACAAGCTACCCATTCTTCCTAATAGAAGTGAGCTTATGCACTCAAAGATAGGAATTCATGCCCATTTCACCATTTAGTGGCCTAAATTCTACAGCTAGTGAATGGAACACCTCAGCATTTTTCAGTGAGTCCAAATATGCTGTGCTTCAGCTCCCGCTGCTCCATCCTGACCTCCTCCCCACCCGGCGAAGAGTGAGTCTCTTTTTACACCTAGACTAGGATTTCATTTTCACTCTCTACTCCCTTGTATTTGAGGTTCCAGAACTTTCCTTATTTCTCATATTATTCTCATCTAGACCCAAAATTCAAACACCAGTTTCCCTGGTGCATTTCTTTTTCTTTATTCTCCGAAACACACTTTTCTGCCCGAGCACTCAACCAGTCATTCATCACATTCAGCCTGAAAAGGAAGACAGGTTGCTCCCTCTCCACGAGGCCTCTTGTTTGTTGGTTTGTTTGTTTGGGTCCTCCCCTAGCAATCTTATAAATAATGAACTGATAATGACATTTACCACTTGAAAGATTGTGAAGGAAACCCCCTTTCTGCCCTCTCGCATCTATCCATTAACCCTACTTTCCACGGTCTAGCACGTTCCTTGCTTCCCCAACTGCTTCTCTCCAAGCCACTGGATTTGATTGAGCCAATTCACCATATACTGGCTCCTGAAGGATGGGACAGCCAGGATCTTCCCTCCACCCCTCACCTCACCCCACCCACCACCACACACACCCGTTTTTCTTCATGGAATCCATAAAGACGCGTAGCAAACTGCCTCAAAAAAGCCACTGGTTCTGCCCGCAGAGGTCTGTCCAAAGAGCAGAAGAGATGGCAAAAGAAGTAATCACCCATGCTAATGAAAAGGGAAAAAACCTCCAATTTGAAGGCTGTTTCTCATTTCTTTGTTCAATTCATTCCAAGAGGTTTTATGGGTGGGTTCATCCCCACCCCCACCCCAGTAAAGTGTCTACTGTCCCAGAAACTTGAAAGGCACCTAAAAATATCAATAGAACTCTCCTTGTATGATATGCTGCATTTGTCTGAGCAAACTTCAACGTGAAAAAGTACAGATTCAATCTGAATTCCAAAAAGATGCCTTTCCCAGCTATTTACTGCAAGATTTCCCTGGAAGTTCATTTTGTTGATGCCCATACACTTATCAAATCAAACTTGAGGAAGACAGAGAATACTTATCCTTGAGAAGTTTATGGGAACAGAAGCACCAGAAAGGAACCATGCAATAACTTAGAAAAATTAACCACTTATCTCTAAATGGCACATGAAAAAGTAAGCCATTCTAGTAGATGAACATTTAATTTCTTTATTACAGTATCAATATCATAAATTGATCAGGTTATTAACAGCAATAAAGTTAGATTAACCTTTTAGAACTTAAAAGTGTTCTTTTTAAAAATAAGCCTTCTGGAGACTAAAAAGACATACAACTAATGCAGTCTTAGGCTGGATCCTGTATTGAAGGAAAAAAAATGTTATAAGGGCTATTATGGACAGCAGATTAGATAAAAGTATTATGCTGGTGTTAAATTTACTAAAGCTGATAAGTGTGTTGTGGTTATATAAGAGAA